TGGCACATGACCGGTAAGACTTGAAAGCTGGAGAGTAAGGCATGGCTCTAATATCGAAAATCAAATTTGGTCCAAAAGGGACCTAACAACTGAAACTTAACTATATAATATAGCTCACTCACTAGGTACTAAATGGAAAAGACTATATACAGAGAGTGAGGGAACTAAACTTGTGATAGCAAGACTGGAAGTGCTCTAACCACAGTCACTGGCTGTAAGACAGAATTGAAGGGGGACGAGGGGCAGTTCCAGCCTCTTATATTGGCACGCATCAGTAGAGGGTGCTCAAGCCACCCTAACAGGTACCTCTGAGGGAAAAAGTTCTCTGACAACTGTGCACAAGGCACACACATACCTACAGTGGAATGGACATGTGCAATCAATCAAGGAAGAATGGTTGTTAGCAATGGGTCCCAATCTTCACCAATAGTGAAAATCTCATTGCCTCATTCATGTTTTCTGTAATGCTGTTGAAAATGGGATTGTCCCATTTATGATAGCTGTTAAATTGTTTAAACGCTAGATAAGAGAGGCAAGCATGTGTTTGAGTAACTCGCCCATTGTTAGCACTCGATGATTCTCCTAATATATATAAACCTGTTGTCTTTATAGTTGAAGAAACATCAGTTAAAAAACTACCCTTCCATTATAAAAGTAAGTTAATCTACCAAATATTCTTGACATGTCTTTTCCAGAGCTTTGGCTTTTATAAGAGAATCAAGACTTAACAGTGTGGTATTTCTCACAGTAAAGCCAGTATATTAGAGAAAAGTGACTTAATAGAGTAATTACCTACTGCAATATTGTGGAACACTAAGAAAAATATTAACCAAAGAAATTCTGTAAGCTTGACTATAAATCCATTCTCACCCTGAATAATGTGATTCGCACTAACCTACAGTATGAGACTCACACATAGTACCTATACCATTAGAGGCCATCTTTAAAATTGTGGTATAAAAACCTGTTCAATGGTGTGGGCGGGGAGTGTTGTTTTTTGTTTTGTATAGTAGTGGTGTTTTCTCTCAGGAGACATGATCCCCTCCCATGGTATTCAAAAACAATTTTAAAAAAAGACAACTGGATAGAGACATAACTCCAAAGGATCCCTCAACCCAAATTCTCACTAATGAAAAGTCACAAAGTATAATAAAAATGCAGCCATTATTTTATATCAACTGACATTCTTATTTTGGTAAAAAGTGCACATGAAGATGTTAAAATATAAATGACATTACTATGAGACCCTCACTTGGAATATTAAAATACTGTTCAGTAAGAGTTGTATTGGAATAAAATAATCTGAAACAAGGACATTCTAAAGAATTTGAATACGACTTAAAATTCTGGATTTCAGGTACAGTTTTAAAAATAGGCTTGCAAAATAATGAAAAAACACTGAGTCTTTGCAAGGATTGAATGGGGAAGGAGAATGAAATACCTTCTCAATTTTAGGTGGCACTCTCTCTTTCAAACAGGGTTAGAGCCTACTGGGTGAAGTAGTGGAAAAGGAGAGGGCTTACAGTGCCATGTATGTTTTGTGACTAAATAAAGGATTTTATAGTCTAACAGTAATCCAATTAATGGTAGTTCAAAAATATTTACATGCTAAATATCAGTACCAGTTATTCATATCCAACAGATAACCAATACAAACCATCACCACAATGAGATTTAGCAGACAACTTTTCTTCTTCCAGTATTTAGGGTCACCCATGGATATATAGGCTTGTGCTTATACCTTCTACAGTAACAAAGTTTCTCAAATGGAACTGTGCTTAGAGCTACAATTCAGAATGGTTACAAGAAAAGATTATAAAAGTATCCACTTGTAATGTGCTTACCGCTTGTATCTCCCCAACATGATTTTTCCTCCTGAGAATGATGATATTTTGCTCTACCAACAGTTAGAGTTCCACATTCAAATACAAAATAAAACTCAGGCCTTCTAACTTAGCAACAAGTCTCTCATTCATCCAGCTATTAGCTACCGATTCTATGACTTGGCATCTCATGTCATTTCCATTATTGTCAATACAAAAATCTGTGTCACTGAAAATTTAGACACAGAATTAAAAAAATGGATATAAAAGCCACCAGTAAGCAACATGGCAGTGATTGCATTACTCCTTTCCATATTTAATTCAATTAATACCTCAGGTTTTGGATTTACTTGAAGCTGCCTCAGAATTTCTAGTTTACAGCATCAAAGAAACCAGAGGGCCTTACCACAGAGTTTAGGCCAGAACTATCCAAAAATCAAAGGGCATGGAGTATGCGCAGGACTACCTAATCGCCTTCTCTTGAGTGTCACCTGGAGGTTTTTGCACAAACTGTGCCACTCATGTGTTACGGAAAACATGAAGAACAGCCTATTAAAAAAGGACTTTCCCAGTATATCTAAAATTATACTGTTTTACACTGAAATCATCAAAAGTCAGACTTCCATTACTCCTAAGTGAAGGCAAAACTGCAAGAGGAAAAGACATTTAAGATATGCTTAAAGACATCAATGAAACATTAAAGCTACTATCATAATTTTTTTTACTAGATCCATTGAATACATTTTATGGTCTCTGGCTGGAAAAAAGGATATCTGATTTTTCACTTAAGTAGCACTAAAGGTATACTCAGGCTGGAATGAGAGGAATGAAAAAATAATGCAAATTCTTAATGAAAAGTGCTACCCAGCAAATGCAGACTCTTAAAACAAATTCCTCATTCAGGAAAATGCAAAACATCCAGGTGGAAAAATTTAAGGGGTTTGCAAAGAGTTTGTTGACAGGTATTTTATAAATACAAAATCAGACCTCAGTACACTTGTTTGTATTACGTATATTATGACTAGAGTTTTGGCTAATAGACCGCTCAACCTTGCTTCTACGTTTTTCATGCCCAAACACCCATATTTCCAGAGATGTCACTGGATTTATATGTGCACGTCAGCTCTGGTAGCTTTTGAAAAAGTGTCCTCTCACTGTTGCCTATAATTAAGCTTGGCAGAATTAGATTTTATTTTATTTTTTCATAAATTTCAATGGATAATATTGGTTTATTTTTAAGCATTTTTTTCAAATGTTGATTTAAATTTTCACAGTTGTGCAAGATTATGAGGGAACAAACAATGGGCAGGTCAGACAATTATTTAATGATAGATGTTCAGATTCAAAAAAGTTAAAGCTTTATAGCCATTAAAACACAAATGGTCAACACCACATGTCAAAATACACAGAGTAAATATCCTTAAATCAAACTATTAAGTTATCAAGCATAATTTTTCTTACTTTCCCTATCTGTAAAATTCAATTATTATTAATGGAAATATTTTTTCTTCGGTTTGTGCATGTATAGTGAAATTGACGTTTACCGACATTTACCAATAAAAAGCTGATGCTTCCAAGCCTATCTATAATGCTCAAAAGGCCAAGAAGATTTCTTGCTCACTGAAGAAACAATAGGTTTCCAGCACCAGCCGTGCTTAGCCGAAACCTCAGACCATAAGCAGATACATCATAGCAGAAAAGTAATAGTAATCTGAGCCATTTCTGCCAAGTTCCAGTCCTAAGCTTTAAAGGCATCAACAATAATATAAATTTAATTACTGTTAAAAAAAGCTCTAACATCATAGCAGTATGTGATCTGTAAACAAAACAAACACCATTCTAACAAGGCTGGTATTAGTCAATTTCAGGGGACACGTGTCAGAATCCCCCTAGTTCATTAACAAGGCTATAAACACAATGGATTCCACTTAGAGCACATATCCCAAACCAGTGCTTTTCAAAGTACCATTCTGGATTTAGGAATAGCAAAACTGGACTAATGCAAAAAAACAGATTTCGCTAATTTAGAAACGGAGACCTGGAAGTAATGCAGGTAGAACTGCAGGAGTCAGTTCTGCAGGGGATGGAAGAACAGATCAAGACTCTCACTAATAACCCCTAAACTGACCATGATCCTTGGAGACAGTGAAGCTCTTAATAGATACAATGAGACTAATGGGGGTTGGAGACATTTTTGGTGGCCACCTATAGCTGTGGAACTCTTTGCCACAAGACCAAAGGATGACCACAAACTTGGCTCCCTCCAGGGAAAAATGCAATACCCTCTTTTTATTGCCTGCCCACAAAATTAACAGGAAAAAGAAAAATCCACTATTCTGCCATTTCAAAGATGTGGGAGAGAAGACAGAAGTAATTTTTCTTGTCTTTTAAATTCTACCTGCCTCCCAGAAAGAAGGGCAAGAGAAAAATTAGGCCTACACACTGACCACTTAAGTGGTATAAACAGGATCTTCTGTTGACCTACCCTGCAACCAGGTATTTGAACCTTGCATGGAAATTGTGACATTCACTGACTCATGTACTCTCTATGGCAGGTGGAGCTCCTTAACCCCTGCTTGAATATAACTTCCTCATTAAAAGGGAGACACAAGTGACTCATGACAGAAGGAACTAGTATTTGGGACAGAGTCATCCTGGGGGAAAACTCTTGGAACAGCCTAGTCTGGAGTGAAACTTTATATTGCATTGTTTATTTTAACTGCCAATAAAAGAACCAACTTGGAAAGAAAGAGGAGTTTGGACACTCAAGAGTGTTCTATGGTAGAGCAGTATGACAACTGCCCGTTCAGATAGGGATTTACGTACATATTTGTAAAACTCTCAGATACCACAACAATGGGCAAAAGTTAATATCTATGATAGCTACAGATAGCAAGTTAACCACACAAGAGGTATAATGCACAGGAATAAGTGATGAAATAAAACTAAGTGACTACCAAAATTACAGTAAGTGTTGATAAATACTAATTAGCCATTTTGGTGGTAACAAACAGTAAAACTGTTTACATATCAACAAACAGACTCCTAAGTGAGTATTCAGGTTGCCCAGTTAAGTAAACAAACAATTCTTGGTCATGAAATGTGTCTTTCCATTTGCAGTGCAGTTGACTCTAGAGTATTTGTAATATATGCAATATAAACAGAAATATTTCTCACCTGCCAGTAACAAATTGTAATAGTAACACTCGCTCTTCCTGAGTTAGTTCTTCTACAACATCCCAGAACCACTAAACGAAAAATAAGTTTGTTTAATGGAAAATGAAAAAACTTTTTTTTTAAATTTGAAAGAAGATATAAACAAATAAGGGCACATTTAAAAATTTATGGTTTAAATTATAGAAATTAGCTCCGAGTCAGATTCAGACCTCATTTTATTATGAGACATTCCCATCTTAAGTGATTTATAGGAATACTTTGGTTAATGTAAGTTTTCATCCAAAAGTAGCAAAAAGTTTGAAGGATTAAAATACAATATTCTCCATCCATTCAGCTGGGACTTTACCTGAATAACAGGGTCTTCTCTTTCATAGCCACTTGTGTATTCTGTATTTTTTATCCAATCACTCACATCAATTTCTGGCATACCAGACAGCAACAGCTCCTTCACGGGGAAAAACAAATCTTGATTAGTCTTCTCTACAAACAATTAATTTTGAAGAGTGCAGTTGCTTTAATTAAAGAATAATCCTGAATGAAACCAAAACGCCTTTTCTGTTCCAATTTCCTTTCAATACTTTATTCCTAATAATAAATAAGATATCAAAGCTTATAATACAAGATCCTTGAGTCTTCTACATTTTAAAAAAAGACAGGCAAACCTTTGTGTATTATTTAATTCCACCTGCAAGTCATCAGTGCAGTGTAAGCAAGGGAGCTAGTTCAGTCCTGGTACTGGAGTTCCACTAGAGCCAACCTATCCACCCATCCTGCAGGCAAGGTGGATCTTTGCAGACTACCAGCCCTCCAATGCACAGAAATGAATTGGCTGAAAAACCTCTCTCCTTGACTGGAAAAGTCTAGTGCCACAGCTAGAGGTCATTTTTCTTTGGCTTCCTCTCCTGGCAAGGGAGAAGCAACTTTCATCCTTTTCGGCAGAGATAATCCAAATCTCTGTGAGACAGAAGGAAGACTGGCATCTTTCTAAACAGGCTGTTCTCAGTAGAGTGATGCCAAAAATCCATTGAGTTGGAGGATCAACGTACGCTGAGACAATGAGAAGGGGCACCCTACTAATTCATTACTTCCAGACTAAGACAACTTAATATTTTAGATATGAAACTAGAAGTCAAAGATACAGTGTCAAAGTAGGTAAAAGCATTGTCTTATAGCCACCAGAACCCCTTTTTAATAAAACGGATTCTAAGTGGAATAGTTAAGTGTATGAGGGCTTCCAAGTTTGTCTACACTATACTACACAACTACATATTCAACCTTAATATAAAATACATTAAATCCCTTATATCAGAATGAGAAATCCTTTGTGTTTTATTGTTGCACAGACTTCTGATACAGGAAAAAATCCTCTTAGAAAGCATACTTGAATATTAAAAACCAAAACACTTGCATAACTGGAAGACTGAGTTGTTAATTTCATTTTGAAAGGTCTGAATCAGTTGCTATCTATACAATAAGACCTGGTAAAGATTTTACAGGTTAAGAAATTTTAAGCCTGTAAGTGATCACCTGAAATGACAGGTTTTCCTTTTTAATAATAATAAAACATTATTATAATTTTAACATAATATTTTAAATGCTATATTAAAATATCAATATCAGTTTTTAAATTTATAGAAGCACAGGTTAGTGGTTGTACCACAAACTACTATTCAGAAGGCCAAATTTGGAGCTTAAAGCTGTGTTTTGTTCCTTGCCCAGCAGGAGCTGAATGCACTGTGGAGAAGAGAAGGACAGGGAGCAAAAGAGGCACAGTGTTCTTTACACTTGTCTGACACACCTTGCTGATGTGAGGATGGAAGATCGGGTTCTAGACTGACCCCACCACCTTAATCAAGGTGACAGTAACAGAACAGGAGTGAGGGGAGGATATACTTAATGATCAAAAAAGCATCCCTGAGAGGGGACAGAAGAAAAAAATGCTTAACTTTTGTGAAGGCCTCTAATTAGAACTCAGTGGACTGGCAGTATAGCATAATCTACAATATGGGGGGCGGGGGAGGGTAATTTCAACATTCTACCAAAAATAGCATATATAACGAATCACAGGGCAATATTTCAACTCCTTCAGATAGTGTGTCTAATGAACTGGTGTCCCCAACATGACAACTTGGAATTGTATTTGAGCTTGCATGTGTGTGCACATGTGCACTATGTACACCAGGATCTTAGGTTACCAGCAAGACAAAGGACAAAATGCTGAAGAAATTGAAGTCTGTATTTCTTTGAGAACAAGGGAAGGAAATTAATTTTCAGTGGCTTCTCTGTTCCCCCTCCAATGACACCCCAAATGTGTGCACAAATACACATATACTTTGCAGGAGAAAAACATGAGGGCATTTTATAAATTTGTAACATCAGCACATGTACGTAGTGGAGGCTGGAACTCTAATTTACCCTTCAAAATAAAATAAAATAAATGGGGCAAGGCTGCATAAGAAGGATTTTTGTAGAATTTCTGCTCTGAATTTTCTGGTTTTAGTAAAAGATTTGGGTGTTTAGTTTAACTACAATACTCGGGTATAAGTAGAATTTCCAATCTTAAATTGGAAAAAAATCTTTAATTTTACATTAAATAATATTTAATGCTTACAGTATGATCTATATTTTTACATTCAGTGAGACTTTAGGCTTCTAAATCATTGTGAAAATTTTACACCAAGTGACTTTGTGGCTTAGGAAGAAGGAAAGAGGAGAAACATCCAAACAGACAGGGAAACAACCATGGAATATCATGGAAAACAGGCAGAAAAGGCCCTGACTGGTGGTCACTTTCTCCAAGGTATTAAGTATATATGTAGTCAGAAATGAAAAATGGAGCAACTACACAAAGATTTTTTAGGAAAGTAAATTTGATTCAGAAAGTGGGAAGTGGGTGAAGATAAATAAACTAGGCAATAGGAACGTTTCCTGATGTTTACTGAAGGGATTTATGGACACCACAAGACATATTCACTTTCTATCTTGGGTATTACAAAGCAAGACTTTACTCTTGTAATGAGTGATCAATACTACCATCTTTCAGGAAAATGCTCACCTAAGGTAATCAGAGTGAACAAGTACAGAAGTTTCAGAGCAGGTCTATAGAAGTGAAAACTAAAGCATGAATATCAAATTATCTTTCAAAACACTGAGCTTTACTTCTACCTCGTTACATTAGTAATGAAGTGCTGAATGCTGTCCGTTACAAATATAGGCTCTGCTACTTACCAGTTCATATTCATCAAAAAGCTGTATAAGAGAAGGTGGTATGAACGTATGAAATCCTTGCAAAAAAGCATTTATCTGAGGCTGAATGGCTCTTGTCATTCGAAGTTCAGTAACAAGTTGGACATACTCAGCCTGCAATGAAAGATATTGAGAACATTAAAATGAGATATTTTATGGTAAAAATATATAAACATACATATGCACGAACATAGTCCTGCCTACATTAAGATTATAATTCAAAGTAAATTCTAGCTGCGGCTTTGAATGGATTCTTCACTCACCTAACTGAGGCTAGCAACTGCAGCACACATGGCCACATTTTCAAAAGGCCTCAAAAAAAAATAAAAAAGACACCTACAAAGTTTGAGCAAGCACCCTTCTATTTCCTTTTTGCCCATACAAATGTATGTAACACAGCCATATCTTGTGGGGCATGTTTTTGGAGACTACTTCTGGAATGACAATGCAGCACAGTCCCAGCAGGGGCTTGGATCTAGACCAAGAATGTTAATGGAATTTTACATTGTCATTTTCTGACTGAATGAACAATACAGCCTCAAACATCAGTTTGGATGGAATTTCCTTTTCTTATTTTTAACTAAACAGGAGAAAAACAAAAGACCTACAATATGAAAATATTCAGTTGGACACCACTGAAATACTGTACCCCACACATTTTAAGCAATCTGCAAGTGGGAACCTCTCACTCTCCACCTTCCAAGATACACACTAAATGAAACAAGGCCCTTTTTATCATTCAAACTGCTACTACTATGGAGCAGTCAAAAAGGAAAAGGGACTTTCAAATGGGGACAGAAAGACAGCCTCTTCCAGCTTTACACTGCCTGGACCACGAACACAGCACCATGTGCTCGTGCACAGCTTACCAGTCTATTCCAGCTCATCTTGATGCACACTATATAAGTCTTCAACACATTCTCTTTACTCAATGTAGACATCTTTCTACTTGGGAATCTAAACTTATGCCAAGACTTCTCAAAACTAAGTTAAATCAACTTTGGCTCCAAGTGATACATGATTTCTAATTATGAAGAGAAAAAAAAGGTATTTCCAGATTTAACTGCCAAACAGATTAACTGAGTTAATGTCTGTGATGATTTGGGGAATCTAGGTACAGTTTATAAATTCTGCTTGGATGTTATAAAGTTGTTATAAAAATTTAATCGGGGAATTCTTCTATGTGGACGTGGAATCCATCATGTGCTAACATGGACTGTAGCACATACCTACCAGACCAGGGACAATGGAAAGTCATTAATCTTAACGTGTGCTGGACTGAAAAAATCGCTTTGCTAAGGAGGCTGACTGGAGCTGGAAGATGCTGCTTCCTCCAACTTGTCTGAAAGGATGGAAAAGTAGAGAGACTGGAAAATTCCCCAAACAGAACAAAGAGAGGGAGGTGACAGAGGAGGATTTAAAAAGAACTCACGGGGAGAAGCCTTTTAGAGGGACAGAAAGCTTGGGGCAGGTGTAGAAGAAACAAGTATGCTTTTGTAGCAGAGGTCTGTTTGAACTGTAACACCAACCAAGGTCAGAGAAAGCAAGCTGAGCTGGAAAGATTCCACGTTTCTGAAGAAAAGTCATGAGCTGCAGGGAAAGGATCCTGGGCACCCCGGGGGACTCTGCCCAAGCGCAAAGAACTCTCAAAATGGCGAAGAACCCAAGACAGGGAAATTTATATAGGTGTGTTTATTTTGTACACATCTGTATATTTCTTGTGCTAAGTGGAGAACAATGGTGTTTCTGGATCCTGTACAAAGTCTGTCTGTTGGCTCTCAAACCTCTCAAGAGGTGAACTGTAAACCAGAAGGCTCACACCTTTGGTAGGATTCTGGGGACTGTTCAAGAGCTGCTGGGGATGTTTGGGGGAGACTGCACTAGTTTCAGGGCTTAGGCAATGGGACAATGGAGTCCCCACTCCCATGAGGGGCATCAGACACAAAGTGTGCCTCTCAAGTGTGTGCTTAGAGGCCCAAAGCCACGAACGGTGCCTAGGCTCTGCCCAGTCCCAGCAAGTGAAGGGCACAGAGAATTCAGCATTTGAATCTCCTCACAGCTGTTTAGTGAAAGTCCAACAGGGGGAACTCTGCCAGATCTGTGACACTGTCTTGTTCCAAAACAACAAATTTGGACACAGTTTCTACTTAAGTTTTTATACCATACCCATCACCACAGCATCTAAGCAGCTGGTTCTTGGAGAATCAATTAACCTTTCTGCCTCCAATTCCCCATTTATACAATGGAGATTCCTCAGATTTATAAACACCAGAGTTACGAACTGACCGGTCAACCACACACCTCATTTGGAACCAGAAGTACGCAATCAGGCAGCAGAGAAAAAAAAGCAATACAGTACAGTACTGTATTAAACGCAAACTACTAAAAAATAAAGGGAAAGTGTAAAAAAGATTTGACAAGGTAAGGAAACTGTTTTTGTGCTTCTTTCATTTAAATTAACATGGTTAAAAGCAGCATTTTTTTTCCTGCATAGTAAAGTTTCAAAGGTGAATTAAGTCAATGGTCAGTTGTAAACTTTTGAAAGAACAACCATAATGTTTTGTTCAGAGTTACAAACATTTCAGAGTTACGAACAACCTCCATTCCTGAGGTGTTCGTAACTCTGAGGTTCTATTGTAAGTCTAAAGTGACAACATTTAAAAAGTATCAGAGGGGTAGCCGTGTTAGTCTGGATCTGTAAAAGCAGCAAAGAGTCCTGTGGCACCTTATAGACTAACAGACATATTGGAGCATGAGCTTCCGTGGGTGAATACCCACTTCGTCAGATGCATGGTTTTTGATTTTTTTTTATAGCTGCCTTTGCTTCCCTGTTAAATCAGTTTTGTGTTTTTGTTTTTTAAAACCATTATGGCCTCTTCCTCAACTGTGGGATTGTGGCTTTTTGGGCATCTAGAAAAGTGTTCTTAACCCATTCCCAGTCATGTCATGCATCCGACAAAGTGGGTATTCACCCACGAAAGCTCATGCTCCAATACGTCTGTTAGTCTATGAGGTGCCACAGGACTCTTTGCAACATTTAAAAAAATATCCCTATTTTGAAAGACTGCCCAATTTCAAAGAAATCAATTATACTTTATTCTAACAGGAATTGGTAGTCTCTTCAAAATTGGAAGAAATTCTCTTTTCAGTGTAAAAGTAGTAGTAACATAAGAGTGAGATGAATGATTAGTTAAATGTTTGTGAAGTGCTTGCAAGAGGAGAAGGGTTACTTAAGTACATCTTCAACCAAGATTCCAGTCTCTTCCAAGGACACCACTGAATGGCAGGCTAAAACAGGTTGAGGGAACCCATGGAGAGAGAGAGAGAGAGACAGACACCTCTGGAAATACTTATTTCCAACATGCATGGGACTGGGAATGGGTTAAGAACACTTTTCTAGATGCCCAAAAAGCCACAATCCCACAGTCGAGGAAGAAGGCCATAATGATTTTAAAAAACAAAAACACAAAACTGATTTAACAGGGAAGCAAAGACGGCTATAAAAAAAATCATTTGTATATAAGGAGGATGTTAAACAGCAGCTACTGAAGTTAGGCATTTTTAAATCAGCAGTTCCAGACAACCTGAATCCAAGGGTCTTAAAAGCTGGCTGAAGAGCTCATTGGATTGGTAATGATGATTTTCAGTAAGTTAACATACCAGGGAAGTTCCAGTAGACTGGAAGAAAGCTCATTATGTGGCAATATTTAAAAAAGAAACAGGATGACCCGGGTAATTATAGGCCTGTCCGTCTGACATTGACCCTGGGCACGATAGGGGAACAGTTGATACGGGAAAGAATTAAAGAAGGGTAACATAACTAACAACAATCAACATGGGTTATGGAAAACAGAGTCTATCAAACTAACTGGATATCTTTTTCTTATGAGATTACAAAAGTTTGCTTGATTAAGGCAATAGCATTTATGTAGTATACTTTGACTTAGTCCCAACATGACATTTTGATAAAAAAAAAAAACTAGAAATATATAAAATGTACTTGTCACTCGTTAAACGAATTCAAAGCTGGCTAACTGATAGGTCTCAAAATGTATCTGTACACAGGAAATAATCAAATGGGTGTGTTTTTAGTGGGGTACCGCAGGGATCAGTTCTTGACCCTTACTATAACGTTCTTATTAAACAACATGGAATAAAACAAAATCACTGATAAAGTTTGCAGATGACACAAAAATTGGGGAGTGGTAAATAATGAAGAGGACAGGTTACTGATACAGATCAAGCTACGTCGCTTAGTAAACTGGGCACAAGCAAACAAGATGCACTTTAATAGGGCTAAATGTAAACATTTACTTAAATAATGGAAGACTCTCTCCTGGGAAGACACTGAAAAGGATTTGAGGGTTGTGGTGGATAATTAGCTGAACATGAGCTCCCAGTGTGCTGCTGTGACCAAAAGGGCTAATGTAGTCCTTGGATGCATAACAAACAGGGGAATCTCAAGTAGGAGTAGAGAGGTTATTTCACCTCAGCGGCTGGAATACCATGTCCAGTTCTGGTATCCACCATTCAAATAGGTTGATAAATTGGAGAGGCTTCAGAGAAGAGCCACAAGAATCTCTGAAGGATCAGAAACCCTTCCTCATAGCGACTGAGCTCCTTGAGTCTATTTAGTTTAACAAAGAGAAGTTTAAGCGGTGACTTGATTACAGTCTGTAAGTACCTACTGGGGAACATATTTAATAATAGGCTCTTCAATCTAACAGCGAAAGGTATACCATGATCCAATGGCTGGAAGTGAAGCTAGACAAATTCAGACTGAAAGTAAGATGTAAAGTACAATGAGAGTAATTAACCATTGGAGCAACTTACCAAGGTCATGGTGTCTTGTCCATCACTGAAAATTTTTAAATCAAAACCATATGCTCTAGTTCTACAGCCTGTGTTATACAGGAGGTCAGACTACATGATCACAATGATCCCTTCTGGACTTAGACTCTATGAATCTGTACTAAATCTGCTTTGGTGGACAGGGCAGAGGAGTCCTTTTGATTCAACAGAGGGAAAGGTACTGCAGGAACATTCCATGATATATGCACCGCTTGACAAAGACATTAGTGGCTATCCAATGTAGCTAATGAAGTTCCCAGTCT